TGTTTTAATTTAATATTTTTAATTGGAACGCCAAATTTGCTAAGTTTCAGAGAATGTGTTTGAAATTAACTTGATACTTATGCAGGTAGAATCAAACCGACAACATAAAATTCCTCTATCATTTGACAAACAATTACATGAAATTTTGAGTTATTAATTATAAAAGATAGATAAATAAATATTTTAATTACTGAAGAAAGATAAATGAGATAGATAAACGCGTGTTATGGTAGATGAATTATTACAACGACGCCTGTTGTCGTGTGCGTAAATTATGTCAAACTGAACGAAAAAGTTCTCTACCATATTGCAAATAACCACTATAATATTGCAAATAACACAAATAACATAGATTTTTAGATATTAATTAAAGAAGATTAGTACATTATCGCGCACAATCATCAATATATTTTTTAATTAGATATTATTAAGACTTTATGATTAAAGAATCAAAACTAACAAATTAAAATTATGTTTTTTGTTACAATGTGTTTTATAAAACTAGACTGTACTGTATAAATTATTTTAGATATAGCAAATTCGATTTATCTGATATATGATTTAAAAACATTCAATTAATTGCAATAATTTTTTAGTAAAAAGTCAAACGTGCATAACTAAACAAATATATAATAATTTCCGCTATAATTCTGTGTATCGAAATTTTGGTCGGATTTTGATCGGAGGTTTGTGCTTTTCGGAACTGCACCTTTTTGGGATAAAATTCCGAAAGGCACAAACCTCCAATTCAGCTGGTTTTTTATGGAAAGCTCCTTAGCTCCAAAACGAAAACCCTTGAAGGATTTTTGCCGACAACACCCCGTTCGCCCTCCATCCACGCTCAAAGTTCAAACTTTGTGTCCGCTGTTTCTTCGCGTGTTGCGAGCACGCGAGCGGGCAAGCAGGATATGTGTGTGTACACACACACGTGCGTGTGCAAATAAACGTAACACACACACACACACATATATATATATATATAAGAGGGACATACGCACCCACTACGCACTTTTCACTTTTTTTAGCATTAAAATAAATGTTGAATGGAATAATGAGGCTGAAAGTAGGATTAAAATTTCGATTCGAGATTTATGATCCAAGATTATAAAAATTTTATAGTAATTTATAACTGCAATATTTTTTCGGTGTGGATTGTTAAGTTATCCATTGTCTACATAGATGACATCTTATACATACACGGAAAAAAGTTTAGTTGAATTAACCAAATATTTCGAATATAAACGATCCAGAAATTCCGATTAAAGTAACTCGAATTCTGTTTAAGTCAACCAAAAATCTTGTTAACTTAAACAGAATTCGGGTTACTTTAATCGAAATTTCTTGATCGTTCATATTCGACCAGATATTTGGTTAATTCAATCAAACCTTTTTTTCCGTGTAGAGTATGCTGTCAATACGTGGACGTAGAGTGTCATAATTCATGCGTAAACAGCCACCCCTGCCTTCAAATGTCAAAATGTTTCGATGATTTTTTTTGGTTGTTTTTAGCTTATAATCAGTTGATAAAATTTCAGATATTATAATGGTATTTTCTTTCCTTTTGCACGCGACAAAAGCGTTCGCGAGAGAGGAGGAGACAGATTTGAATTTTTATTAGAGGCATAAATCGTCATTTTTCGTCTCTCATGAGAGTCCTCACAAGTTGAAAGATGCGACTTTCTCCAACGAAGTGCTTGCCGATTTTTGCGAACTTGCTGCGCACATACGTAATGATCTATGTGCGCCTGATAACCCCTTTATTTGCGCGCTAAGCCATCTCAGCGATTGCTTGTCAAACGACTCACTGAGCCGCGTAATTCAACCTTCGTTCCCCGTCGTCTCGGCCACAGTCGCTCCCTTATGTGGGACAATTGAAGATTTAATTAGCCGCGATCAGCGTCCGGTCACACACTGATTTCATTAAAGCATGGATATCCGGCAGAATAATATCGCTCGTTATCGAGAAAGCCACGGCGCTGATAAATGACGGGACGACTGGAGGAATCGCGCGGCGATTTTGCCCCTGAATGATCCTCCTTAACGAACTGACAGCGTATTTCTCGTTAAAATTTCACGTAGCCCGTGACCGTGTAACACGTTGGGGAGATTTCGCTCGTTTAATTTCAAACTGTACTGAGAAAAGAACGTTTGCCTCCCACACAACACAATGTCCAAAATCGAGACGTCTTTAAGACGTCTTCAAGTCATCTTTAAGACTTTGGAACATAAGACGTCTCTAAGATATTTTTAAAACGTCTTCAAAACGTCTTATGTCTCGACTTTAGATGTTGTGTTGCATGAATTTTAACTATAATCACATAGAGAAATAATTACTCAGTGAGTCGTCTGATAAGCGATCACTGAGATGGCTTATCGCGCAAATAAAGGGATTATCAGGCGCACATAAGTCATCACGTATGTGCGCAGCAAGTTCGCAAAAATCGGCAAGCACTTCGTTGGAGAAAGTCGCATCTTTCAACTTGTGAGGACTCTCATGAGAGACGAGAAATGACGATTATATGACAAAGAAAATATTTTTCTAATTAAATTTTACTACAATTTTTTAATGGCTACAACCTTGTATGCATATTATTGCTATCATTTTTCGTGTTAGAACAGCTAAAATTAGTATGATCGGAGCCAAAAGTAACTACAGTTCTAGTTAGATCGATTGTTTCTTCTCAGTGTATCAACAATCTGGCAGAAATATGTTTATGACTGACGTGAATACACTCCTTAAAGTACAATCAGTGTATTCACCACTGGAATGCTACAGTTATAACTGATGATTCAGTTGCATAGCACTGCAATCAGTGAAATCTCGTCGGTTGATGGTCAGCGACTGTTCCTATTGTTGATGCACTTTGCAAACACAGACAGCGCCATTGGACGTAAATCGCATGGAAGCCGGCAATTCCATTGCAAAAGAACGCAGAAAGCTGAATTCGACGCGGCGTATAAGGAATCTGCGATGTACAGATTTAACAGTGAATTTTACAATTTTCTTTCCGCTGGTAAGGTATGAGACGAAGCAGCAAATATCATAATAAAATTTTCTTTCCTTTTGCACTCAATAAAAGCATTCGCAAGAAAGAAAGAGATTTGAATTTTTATCAGAGAGTTTTTATCACTCATGAGAGTGCTCACAAGTTGGAAGATGCGACTTTCTCCAACAAAGTCGATTCTTACGAATTTGCCGCGCACCTACGTGACGACCTATGTGAGAGTGTTTCATTGAAAATCAATGAATATTCAGCGATCATCGCGGTGAAATGCTTCTTTAACTGATTCAATCGAAGCATTTTTACTGATACACTTCAAGAAGGCACCTCGCCCGTTGATTCCGTCGCGTTAATGAATTAATAAAAAGTCAACCTCCGTCGTTAATTAACGGAGACTTCTCGACGCTGGATTTGGAGCGACGGGACTTTTACTCATCGTGGAGACGTGCGGACGGTTCTTGCGGAAATATTCTTATATTTTGCGCGATAATTAATGCTCCCACCGAAGGCACCCGTTATTGATCTTGCAATCGCGCGTAATGTACTCGTGTAAAAGGTAGGAGAAGGAGAAAAGAGAAAAAAGAGAAGGAGAAAACAGTTTCGCCGAGCGGAGAGTAATTGAACGTGCCGTGTCGAGCGCTCGCTCGTCGATTGATCAAAGTGTAATGATTTCCGCCGTGCGAACGTAAAACGCGGCATGTGTATAATCGCGCTAATTAGATGCTCGCCGATACTTGATTAAGCAATCTCGACGCTTACGCAAAACACTAAATGATCGCGCAGTTCGGCAAAACGAGCTGGACTTTTTTTCGCAACGTGATGGAAAATTTTTTCCTCTTTCAATTTTGGCGAATCGAGATCGGCATTACAGCACGATGAAAAATGCAACGCGATGAGAGAGCTGAGATTTGATTTTGCTGCGAATCATTTTACTCTTACTCGAAACTTTTAATCGTTACAAGAATTTAAACGACTACAGATTTAACTCGTGATCTCGGTGGAGTTGATTCAAATCAGTTATTTAATGTGACAAGTAAAGACAATGTTATCGATTCTTAATGATTAATAAGATCTTAATTATTGATAATTACTATTAATGAGTTGCTGATTTATTCGCTGCGTTAGATATATTGACAGAGAAAATGATCGATTTCAAAAATTATAGCTATTTTCGGCACCAAATGTATCTTTTTATTATTCTGAAAAACAAGTAATAGCAACATTAAAGACTTACGAACGTTCGTCGGATTACTAATAATTCGTTAGGTCCAAAAATTAATTACTTCTCAGACACGGAATTGGACAAATCACAGAAGGTGGCAGAAAATGACGGATATTTTAACTGAACGTGATATGCACTTCATTACTATTAATGCGAGTAATGTGGCTAAAAATCCAACGAATTTTGCAAGCACCTGAAGAATTAACACTTACTACAAAAATAGTTCTAACGATCATAACTCTTTCATTATGTGATTATAATCGCAAATGACAAACTTTTTTCCCAGTGTGACTTATCAGGACACGAAATCGTAATTTTCTCATCACCATCACGAAGCAGAAAACTGAACAGGATCAAGTTGATCAGGGTCGAGGGGCAAATTTCTGGTCGGATGGTTGGATTTACACGATTGGCTCGAAATCGGCACAGGCATCCGCCAGGGAAAACAAAGGCGCGTCCGGAATACATCGCGCAATTTCAGCGAGCCTCGGCGATGAAAAGATTCTCGTCACGCAGCTTCGGGTAAACTTTGGGCCCACCCTGGCGGTGCGAACTCCGTGAACGCGTCTATCACGCACGGCTCTACGCCAGCGCGCTTTTCTCGCGCGACAAATCAAACTTCACGGCGTCCTATCCTTTATCATATGTGCCAACTGGTCCTTTGAATCGTCTCGCTCGAGGTCCCGTGAGCTCTCGGGGATTCTCTCGCGTTTCCCGTTTCGTGGCTCTCCCTTTCGCGCTGCGAGCGGGTGATTTAACTCTGACGTAACACTCACCGATGCAGACGATGAGCGCCACGGCGAGAATCGGCGGGAAAGCCCTCGAGGACGAAAGCATGTTGTTTGTCCGGGACGTCTGGTCCGTGCGAAATGGCTCGAACGAGGATATATACCCACGACGGGGAAGAGTTACTCAGCTACTTTGGAGCGTCTTCTACGCCGGACCCAAGCTGAGGTTGATGGAGCCACCCGGAAGGGGCGGGACCGAGATGACGGCCCGCGGAAACGAAAATCGAAAGAAAAAGGCGTGCACCGACCCGCTTTTCTCTGAACGATCCCCTCTTGATCCCCCGTCAATCACTGATAACCCCGGGGATATCTGGTCCACTCTTTCGATTAACACCGAGGACAGAGGATCAATCTCGATCCCTCACTGAAACGAGGCGCGCGCCGCGAGAGAACGGGAGACTGCGAGAGAAAGAGAAAGTGGGAGAGAGAGAGAGAGCGAGTGAACGATCTCCTTCAGTTTTAAAATAGTTCAAGTCCTCTTCAAAAAATAATCGGCGCGTTAGTCTTTCCTGTTTTTCTTTGTCTCCCTTTTTCTTCCTCTCTCCTCTTTTCTTTTCCTTCTTCCCTCTTATGGAACCCTCTCTCGCGTGATTAATCGACGACCGGTGGTGTCGCGGGTGGTACCCGACTCGGTGGAAGAGATGGGAGGGGAGCAGCTTTTACAAGAAGCGCGTCCTACGATGTACGTCTGTTGCGGTGCCGACGTCGGACTGACTTTCCGAACGTTACTCTACTACTCTGCAGCAGTGGCGACGAGTGGCGCCGCGACGCGACGCGCCGCGCCGCGCCGAGCCGCGCCGCGCCGCGCTGCGTCGTCGCGCGAGTACATCCCGTCACGTGTGCGCCCGTGGGCGTGCTCCGATGCAGGACATCGTCGCAGGATGCTGTGTGTGCGAGCGATATAGCAGCCCTTCGAATTTCGACGCGCCCGCGCCCTCGTGCCTTGCACGGCCTAACCGAGAACAGCCACTCAACAAGGAACCTGGCCGATGTCATAAGGGCGCAGTCACGGTCGATCGGCTGAATTTGCAAAAATCGACGAGCAGGGATTGCTATCGCGTTGCTCGGTCCAAAGAATTGTGTACTTGTGCTTCAAACTGCTCCTTGCTACAATGTTTGGTGTTGAACTTTCGATGTTCCCGTGTGTCAACTTAACGTATTGCCTCATCGTGTTGTCTGGTTACTTTATGTTGAATTTGTATCCAACATTTCTGAGTGTTAAAGTAATACATTTTATATGGGGATGTGCGAATGGCAAAAAAATCATGTAGTTTTTCAATGTCAATTCGGAGGAGAATGAACGAAAACTGTACTTGTTAACTTAATACATCATGTGTGTTAATTGGACAAAAAAGAAGTATTTTCTGTAATATCAGTGACATATTTTATTTAAATTATGTTTTACTTTTCACTTGTAAAATTATGAAAAGAAATATGTCTTTTATTATTGGTGACATAATTCAATATTTATGTTATTCCTTAGCACATTAAATTGACACACAACATTTTAGTGGACAGGTGAAATGTATTAGATTGAATATGAAATTTTTAATTCAACACAAAATTTTTTTACTGTGTCCAGTGACGCAATTTGATTGATGACATCTCATTAATAGTATTTCGTATAACGTTCTCAGATCGCTCTTTTCATGTAAAAATTTTCTTCTCCATTTGAGAAATCCGGTGTTGATTTTCCTCGGTAGACTTGGCAGGTTCGTACGTCCGAAACGACAAAGATCCGTTCGCAGTCGTGACACATGACAGTCGTTTCCGCTCTGCAGTGGCTGCAGGATGGAGTGTGCGATGAGGTCGCTCAATTTTCGGTACAGTGACTATGCGACGTCGGCGTCGAGAGATCGTCCTTGTGTTCAGAGACACGCAAGATTCATTTCGCTGTTTGGGGAGAGAAGTCACTTTCGACAAATACCTCTCGCTCAGCCGAAACCACCGACGAGTCGCGCGCGCCACGAGACGGGAGCGCGACGAAACGCGGTCCTGGGCGCGATGGAAAAAGCTTGCACAGCCTTTTTTAATAAATCACACCTCTCTATGTGATGACACCTTTCTATGCGATGACACGTTCGTGCAGTATTCTTCCCGGTGACGCCGTAAATGCGTTTAGTGCCCGCCGTATGTACGACGAATGCCGTGCGAACGTCGGTTTACATATCGAGTTATTGCAGCATGCATTCACGCCGTAGTTGTCGGGGAGTGCATACAATGTGTGCGCGTGCATATAATGCGGCGGCAACATTATACCATGTGGCATCAATCATAGGATTTCCTGCAGGTGAACGTGCAGTCAGTTCCCACAGCGCGAATTCCACCCGTCGACGTCCTCCGACGCCCTCCCCTTCGCCCCTCCTTCTAACACGCACCTTGTCGTTCACTCTCTGTTTTTGCAGAGCCTCCGTCGAAATTTGACAAGCATCGTCCCAGGCAACAACATGACGTGATTTTAACGTCAGTTTTTGGTCACTCGTAACGTCAATTATCCTTTTATAATCACGTAATAATGATAAAAATGACCGAAATAAGTCAGAGCCCACCGATGTCATAATAAAACGTGAAAGTGACGTCATAAAAAGACGTAAAAATGACGTGTCGGAATATCCTTATTCGGTTCTATTTTCGAACAGAAACTGTTTGTAAATGTCACAGCGCTTGCTGATTTTACTTGAAAATTTTAGATTACTTGATTCCAATGTTACATCACTTTAAAAGTTCTCACTGGCACTGGAACTTGGACCATGAGACATCTCTGGATTATGAGTCTGTTGCTTTAGACACTACACCACTTCTTCGATCAATATAAACGTCTTATATTTTGTCTATATGTGTTGCATTTAACACAGTGTAATATAATTTTTTGATAATATAATTTAATAAAATGATTTAATTTTAATAAAAATAATATTTTTCGTACCTTTATTGTTAATTTAAACTCTAGCTCTCTCTAATCAGGTAACAAAATCCCGCACATTCCATTTCGTTATCTTTAAATTTTTATATTATAATAAGCATTTTTTTAAATGTTATTAAATAGACAAAGTCATAAAAGACTATAAACTTGGAGTAATTATAATTTAATAATAGAAAAAATCCATCTTACCATATAAGATTTAATTAAATTAATTAAATTTATGTATATATATATATATATAAATATACAAATTAACCCAGATAGCTATTTGTGAGAATTTTCTATGAACTTTTATTTATCCCTGTTCTATCTGAGTCAACATTTTCTCATTAACATATCTTTGAACATCATCCTACTAACTGGATAATTGCAACAATGCAATGCTTGTAAGTAAGAAATGATAGAATAAGTTCTATAAGGCTTATTCCTAGGAGTCAAATGCTTGAGATGCAAACACGTAAAAAATAAATAATAACGTGTATAAATAATAATCTGGTTACATAAACCACATTTGATATAAATGAATATTAAGTAAATATCTGTCACATTCTTTGCTTATCGAACAGCTGACTCTCAAAAAATGACCTCTCAAAAACGTATTATAGACGTCTTTAAATGATGTTATTATTACATCAAAATAATCACATCTTTTAAACGTCAGTTATTGGTTACATGACGTTTAGGACTGATAATCACCATTTATCGACGTGAAAATGACGTGACGTTGCTGCCTGGAGTATCTCGGGAAGAATGGAAGTGGAGAACGCGTGAAAATCCGAGTTGAAATTTCGATCCCACTTTCGACCTCGATATTCCATTTGACGCCTACACGCAGAAAAATTCATTTTACATTCAAACAAATGTTACTTGTTCCAAGTGTTTTATAAGTTTACATGCATCCAACTATCATGAGTTCCTTATAAGCATCAAACTTATTCGAAACACTTTTGATTTTAGCAAGTTTGGTGTTTCAATCAAGAATATTAAATTAAAACAAGAATTCGGCTTGATTATTTTGAGTAGAGTAATTTTAAGTAGCAGCAATTTTTTCTTCGTTGAAGTTTTATAATATTCTTGAAGAGAACAAATTCTTTTTTGTTAAGTACATAATAATGAGTTTTTCTAAATTTTGTGATGAGTATATTTTTTAAGATTTTTATCAACAAAATATTCTTTGTTGAAGATAAATTAATCAAAATAATCAATCAAGACAAATCAATCAATATTAAATTAAAAATTTGGTTCGCTTGCTACATAGAATCAACTTTTTCTTCGATAAAGTTTCATAATATTCTTCTAAAGAGAATAAATACTTCTTTTAAGTACACGATAATAAGCTTCTCTCAAATTTCTGGTTAATATACGAAAAAATAATTTGGTTGCACCGATCAAATGTTTGATCATATGTTTGATGAAATATGAAGGAACTAGAATTCGATTAAACGATTAAAGATATCAGAATTTAAATTAACAAGACTGGTTGAACAAGTTTAAATTAACAAGACTGGTTAACTAGAAAGCTTATCTGGGTATAAATAGAATTTTACTGACTTGAGCTGAATTCTTATAATTTCAATCGAAATTCTGGTTTATCCATATTTCACTTGATATTTAATTAATTTAATTTTAACAAAATTTTTTTTCCGTACGTATGTGAAGACGATTATAAAGGAATGATTCCTTGTTGAACATAACCGCTACTTAAAAGGAAGGAAAGTAAACTGAATAATCGCTTTTCTTAATAGAAGAATGATATTTTTCTGTGTGTACTTTGATACTCTAAAACCTACATTATTCCCTTTTGATTCTATATAACCTACAGCTTTGCCGAGAAATTCTCCTTAGAACCTACAAATGGCGTTTTGTGCGTTTACCATACCATTTAAAGACGTTAAGTCTTTAAATGACCAGTATAAGTTTAATTCACGTGGACTTAGTTTCCATGTGAATTAAATTTATACTGATCCTCCATATATACTAAGAGAAAATACTTGAAAATTTATTTGTTGGATATAAAGTTTACTTCTGCGAAATAAAGTTTATTTCTGTGAAATAAAGTTCTTTTGGCGAAAAACTTTCATATGCCAAAAAAAAATTTTCCAGTATTTTTTTCTCAGTATGCAGATGTTAGAAAGTTGAAGTCGAAAGTATGGCTAAAATTTTGATTCGGAAAGGCAAGGAAGATGACAAGAAATAGATGGAATACTTTTGGTTAAGTATATTAAACATACATTACTCAAATATATTAAATATTCATACATTAAGAAAAAGAAATAGTTGAGTTAATGAGACTGCTTGAGCGAATAAAATTTGTTGAAACAAACGTTTAGTTGATTGAACAAATTATATAGTTGTAATAATGAATTATATATTAAATTATATATTTACATATACATAATTATATATTTATATAAATATATAAATATATAAATTAATTCAGTGATTACGATTTAGTCATATAAATGCAACTTATTGCTGCACTGACGTGGAATTTGTTCAATATATTTGAAGAGGTTATATTTATTTGAAGAGGTATGACTGCCGACTCAGTTAATCCAATTAATTTTTTTCTCAGTGCAACTATCGATTTCGTGTCAGAATACAAAATCACTAAATGAGAAATTGGTGACACGCTTCTCCGAAATTGCGTCGATATGAAAAACCGCGTCGAATAGAATTTCAACATTTCGAAATCCGTTTGTCTCTTTCTCTCTCTTTCTTTCTCTCTCGTAACAAGGGAAAAGCAAATTTTCAAGTATGATACGCGCGACGCGAAATACGCCAATTTTTTC